GAACTTGTCTATCACTTGTAACATGAATGGGAGGGGTGTCTGGAGCCATCATCATTTCTGCTGGTAATGAGTATCTAATCTCCACAGTGACTGTGCTCATGTCCAGGTTATAATCTTCTTGTGCCATTGCAACAAGTTCAGCATGTGTTGAATCTTCATTCAATAAAAACAATCTTGCTCCTTTGAGATCATCAACCACGAAATCCCAACGGCAATCTTTCAACAACCATTCTCCATACACTGCACGTAACTGACGAATCATCTGCAAAAATTCAAAATAAAACACATTAGTAAACATAGAGAATTTCATGAAAGTTTACTAAACATCGTCTGGACGACTTAGAACTAAGTCGTCCGGATGACTTACACGTAAGTCGTCCGGATGACTTACACGTAAGTCGTTCGGACGACTTACTTCTAAGTCGCCCATTGAGATCATTTTTGCAATTGAAATTCAAATGGGACGACTTACTTCTGAGTCGTCCAGCTTTGTTTGTTAAAAAAAAATATCCAGAGGACTTAATTATAAGTCGTCTAGATAAAACGGTCTACTTTTGCTTTTGACCGAATTGTGTCAGATATTTGACTTTTTCTGGACGACTTATAATTAAGTCTTCCCTGAGAAAGTTAAAATTTCAATATTTTATTAAATCTAGACGACTTAATTATAAGTCGTCTCAGATTAGTTTTGCAATTCAAAAATAAAACTTAAATTTTTATCTTCTCCGGACGACTTAATTAGAAGTCGTCTGATCAGAAGACTTATGTTAAAGTCGTCCAGAATAAGCAAGGTTTGACCAGAAAACTCGAAAAATATTCTGGACGACTTTGATTATCCTGGACGACTTTAATCTAAGTCGTCTGAGCGGTCGACTTTTAATTAAGTCGTCTGGAGAAGTTAAAAATTTAAGTTTTATTTTTGAATTGNGCTGGACGACTTAGAAGTAAGTCGTCCGTTTGACCAGAAGACTTATCCGTAAGTCTTCTACATCCAGACGACTTACGGGTAAGTCTTCTACGCGAAGAGATCTGGAAAAAAATTCAATTTCAAACCTTAAACTAGGTGAGATGACTTCCTTTGCACACAGAGTCTTCTCCAACCACCCAGAACATCGAACGAAAGTAACACACCAACAATTGTATGCTTAAATGGCTCTACAACCATAAAAAAATTGCTATCAAAAGCTTGGGTTTTTGGCATGAATATGGAGACAAAGTGAAGGAGATGTTGTTTTTAGTTCATAACAATTGAGAAAGAGAGTATGAGTATCGATTTTAAGTGCATTAAAAGCTTTAAACCTTGGTTGTACAAGGTTGTTGGGTTGTACAAGGTTGTTGGGAGTATTCATGGCAATGTTGTAAATACTTGAAGATGATGAGGTTGAGAGAGTAAAAAGGCAATTTTCGAAAAAAGTAAAAAAAAAAATTTAATGGCATTTTCGTAAATAAAATGAAGATGTGGGGTGGATAGGAGAAAAACAAGATGAGTTAAAAGAAGAAGTTAGTTTTGTGTTTGACCATGAGTTTTGAGTCAAATTTGCAAAAACCCCTATATTTTAATATCTTTGTTTTCAATTTGAAATAAAATTGAGTATTAAAAAAATAGAAGAAAATCTTTAAATATGATTTTGAAAAAATAATAAGTTAAATTGTCATCATCAGTAAGATATAATTAAAATATTTTAAGAATTTATTTTTTCTGCTTTTAAATCAAACTTGAATTAACTTTAATTGCTAATTCTATTTTAAAGTTAATTTAAATTAATTTAGTTACAAAATCAAAAATTTAAAAAAATTTTAAAATATTTTCTTAGAATTTCAAATAGAAAATTTTTTAATTTATATTTCAAATAAAATGTAAAAATATTAATATATATTATATTTAATTTATTATAACTTAAAATTTTCCAAGGAGTGATCCAAATAAAAATCATACATAAAAGTCATAAGACTTTAATTTAATAGATTAATAATAATAAATATCTCAAAAATAATAATATCATAGATTTAAGATAAGAAAATGTCAGATTCATTTCCGTTTGATGAACTTTTTAGCAGAGGGCAAGAAATCATTTCTACATCTGTTTTTTTGTATTGGTGTAATAGCTTTAATTGAATCTGAAATAAAAAAAATGACCATTAAACAAATGGAAGAAAATCATCTTAAATAGTTCTTTTTAAGGTTTTGTTACAAAAATAGTCATCAAAAAATAAAATGACCAAATGTTTTGAAGTTTTTAATATTTCTTAGTAAAGTAAGATAAGTAAGAAGAAAAATGTGAGATTTGTTTCCTTTTAGAAATCCTTTTAGCAGAAGGCAAGATATAGTTTCCACAGCTGTCTTTTTTTGTATTGATGTAATTATTTTTAAATACTAAACTTTTGAGGAGAAAACTTAATCTAATTTGTATTAGTATCAAAACTTTTCTGACAATTAAGATTGTGAATCATCCCCTCTCCTTGCTAACTACAAGGGTAATCTCCATAACTGTTGTTATTGTTGTTTTCATTTTATTTTCTCCACTACGGTTTATGAACCCTTTAGGTTTCTCCAATCTGCAGGCTCTAACCGTAGACTAATTTCTTACATGGACTGCATCAGTCATCTTCCGGATGATTTGCTCTTGCAGATATTGTCACTGAACAAGACAAAAGATGTTATGGCCACGAGTCTTTTGTCCAAAAGATGGCGTTCTCTTTGGACTTTAGTTCCAGGTCTTAAATACGACGATAGCAATCACAATGGAGATTACAAGCTTTTCACGCAGTTTGTTTACAGGTCTTTCCTATCAAACAAGGCATCAGTTCTAGAACATTTGCATCTGAGTCTCGGTCTTGACTGTCCCTCTGTAGATATTGGAATATTGATTAATCTTGCAGTTAATCGCCATCTGTGTGAGCTGCATATTGATATACGTTCGTCCAATAATACCTCTGAGAGAGTTCAGAGATTGACACTCATAAGCTGCGTTTCTCTGGATGTTCCTTCTCACGTTCGTCTCTCCTCTCTCAAAACTCTGAGCCTTAACGCTGTCACTTACGCAAACAAAACGTCTCTTCAAAGACTTTTATCCGGTTGTCCAATTCTTGAAGTATTGTCTGTGAAAAATGTTTTTGAACGCTCACCAATGGATGTCACTGTCGCGGTGCCTTCCTTACAAAGGCTACATATGTCCCATATAACTCCTGGAACACGTGGGACGTATGTGCTAAATGTCCCTTCTTTGAAGTACCTTGATATTACAGATTGGGCAAGTTGCAACTTCCGTCAAATTGAAAACATGCCTGAGCTGGTAACGGCACGTGTTAGCTTTTGTGCAGATACTAGTACCCACGACTTTCTGAAAGCTCTCACTTCTGTCTGTCGTCTTACGCCAATGCTACAACTTACAGAGGTAATATCAAACTATAGATTAACAATAAATCGTCCTCTCAATATTATTGTATATTACTTACAGAGGTAATATCAAAATATGAAACAGGTTGTGAATCCTTCCGGTGTAATCTTCAACCAGCTTGTCCATCTAGACTTGAATACATTTGCTGAAGGTTGGTGGGATCTACTTACCTGTATGCTCCAAGATTCTCCCAAACTACGTTTTCTCAAACTCACTGATGTATGTGGTCTTTTAAAATACACTTTTATATCCCGTTTAAGTTTTTCCAATATTTTGTGTTTTCTGCTGACTATTTTGTTGATTTGTTAACTATGTCCATGGTCTTTAGAATTTTTATATTGGCAAAGATATCCCCACTGGTTGGAAGCCGCCGAGTTCTGTTCCAGAGTGTTTATTGCACAGTCTTGAGGCTTTTGAGTGGTTCGGATACAGAGGAAAACAACAAAATAGGGAGATGGCAGCATATGTACTGAAAAATTCTATTTGTTTGAAGACGGCGACATTCTCTCCAGAATCAACTCGTTTGGGAAAGAAGAACCGAATGCTTAAGGGGTTGGCATCTATAATTACAGCTTCCGCTTCGGTTCAGATTCTTTGTGGCTGAACAATCATAACACATTTTCGTGTTCATAATCTCTCTTCTTAATTATATATTGGCTGTGTTTATATATTGGCGTTCGTCAACTCGGGCAACAAGCTCGTTGTAGATCCGCTCAGAAGCAGGATCTACAAACTGCCCAGCCTTGTTCCGGTGGGTCCTCTCGTAAAGGTCTTTCAGAGATGGAAGAACAGTCTCCTTAGCCTAAAATTAATTTATAAACTTAAATATTAATTTGGAATATATTCAAATAAAATAAAAATTTAATTGATATTAAAAATCATCTTACCATGTCTAGACGAACTCCCCGTGAGGTTTTCGACCCGTGGTGTGAAGCACCTTCGTGTTGCCATGCTCATCCTTGGTCATGCGGTTCCCGGAGTTTGTGTTGGAGGTTCTGACCGAGTCCGGCAACGTCCAATAGCTGATGAGGCCATTCCACACCGTGGTTGTGAGGCAATCGGATTTCCCGGCCTCGTAACCATTCACCTGATTTAAAAATTAAAAAGTTAGAATTAAAGTCAATATTTAATATTTTTAAAACTATATATATATATATTATAATTTATAAATATATACCTCATAGTCGCCCTTCCAGTTGTAGACCGTGTCGAGCAATCGTGCTCTTGCCTTGGCCTCAAACTCCTTCTTCACTCGCTGGTGAATCCCAATAGACCAACGATACTTTTGCTGTAACCAGAAAAAATAAAAGACGGATTAGTTCAATTATATTAATAATTTAAAATAATTAAAAATAAATTAACGAACTAAACNAGTTGTAGACCGTGTCGAGCAATCGTGCTCTTGCCTTGGCCTCAAACTCCTTCTTCACTCGCTGGTGAATCCCAATAGACCAACGATACTTTTGCTGTAACCAGAAAAAATAAAAGACGGATTAGTTCAATTATATTAATAATTTAAAATAATTAAAAATAAATTAACGAACTAAACTTACAGCGAACGATTTGAACCATGTTTTTTGTGTTCTTCAACTTTATATTCTCTCTTGTTTTCACTGAACTTTTACAACCTTGTTTACAAATGAATACAAAGTTAACCTGAACCAGAAAGGTCGTTTTGTCATGTCTTTGAATTGACTTTATCATCATGAAAGCGTTTTACGGTTAATCTTGAATTGGAATGACTTGAAGTTGTTCTTGTGGCTTTCATGTAGACTGTAGTATTGGGACGGTGGGTACCCTTTTGCAGCTCTGATCCAATTGCTCTCCAAAGCTCTTGCATGACTTCATATTTTAGTAAAGTTTGCTGAAACCAAACTTTAGTATGTAGATTAAAATATTGGAAAATGACTTTTCATATTCATTTAAATTTAAATTTATGTTAATATATTTAAATGATTAAAAATAACAATTGATACATATTCATTTAAAATATATATATAATATAAATTAGTTTTCATATTTAAACATTTCATAATATGGTATATTTGTAGATGATAATCATCACCAAAAAGGAGACTTATAATTAGAATATGATTAGAAATTGTTTTTATGAACTATTAAAAATATTGTTTCAAAAAAAAAAGAACTATTAAAAATATTGTTAAAATATATAGCTTGATAATGAAAAAAAATATTCCTAAATTCTTAAAATGAGTGATAATGTGTCAATTTTTGGTGCACCACTTGTTTAGGTAGCTTCATGAGAAAATAGAAAACTTAATATATACTAGATTTTGACCTATATAAATATTTTTTTACGGGTTAAAATATACATTTTTAATGTTTGTATAATTATTTAAAGTATAATAATTTTATATTTTATATGTTGTAAATTCAAATCATCACATATATATGTTTCTTTTTATTATACATTTTTTTTTATTGAATTTGCGCTTGATTATTAAACAAAATTCTTATGTAAGAAACAACATATTTAAAAATTATTTTGTTTATAATTCATTATGATCGAAACCCGTAATTCAAAAGGATAGATTAGAATTTTTATATTTATTTATTTTATATAATAAATTACTATATATAAAAAATTTAGATAAACTGACTTTTATACATGAATTATATAGTTTATGAATGTTAATCCGTTCTACGAACATATTATATTTTAGAATAAATATTGTATATTTATTAATATAAATATATTAACTTATCAATTTCAAAACAAAATTATCATATTTAGTTCAATATAATTGTTTTCTTTCAAAATGATGGATATTATTAAAAAAAGATAAGTTAGGATATAATTTTATTCTTTTCATTTTATAAAATATATTTGAATATATATATAAATCTATATTAATATATAATAACATTTCATGACTAATTATGAAATTAGTGAAAATATTTATGTTCAATTTCTGACAATTAAGATCTTGTTATAATATTTTTCAACAAATTTGCTAGAATATATATATATATATATATATATATATATATATATATATATATATATATATATATATATATATATATATATATATATATATATATATATATAAAAAAAAAAAATATAGTCTAAATAAAAATATCACACATAAAAGAAATCTTGAATTTTTTTTAATAGAATATATATATATATATATATATATATATATATATATATATATATATAATAAACAAATCTTTTAAAATTATTAGTAGAATGTATTTTAAAATTAATCAATTTCATTTTTATTATGAGTGAATATGATTAAAATATTGAATTTTTTATATTCGTTTATAAACCAAATTCAATTTTAATTTCTAATTATATTTTATGATAATTTAAAGTAAAGAAGAGGACAGGTGTCTGAAAACTAATCCTCATGGTCAGCTCAAGTAAGCTTGCAGAGTTCTTGGGTTGTCCCTTTTCTTAGGAAGAAGAAAAAAATGGATGTGTGGATGAGATCTTGGAGATGTGCTCTCTGTCTCTAAGCTGAGAAAGTTTGGAGGTTAACATGACCGGGGAATCTGTCAATGGTCTTGAGAACAAGAACCATTTCCGCGAAGGGATAGTTGGTGACTGGAAGAATTATCGAACTCCAGAAATGGGGAACAAAATGGACATGATCATGGAGGAGAAACTCAAAGATTCTGGTCTCAAGTTCAGAGTTATGATCTAAAATGCATTGTAATAATAAAGTAGCTTGTGTATGTAAGATTCATGCTTTGGAATTCGGAGATATGTCATGTGTTGTTTCATTGTTTGTGGAGATAATTGGCTAAAGTGCCCTATTTGGCAACTATAATTAGAGAATTGCCCATGATGTGACAATTATTTTTATTTGGACCATTTTGCCCTTCTCTACACTCTCTCTCTTCTCTTTGACATTTCCCCTCTTTTTTTTTCTCTTCAATCCCTAATTATTTTACAAATCTCTATCATTCTATATACAATTAAATTTTAAATTTCATTATTTTTTCATAAGTGGCTTTGAATCCTCAATTTTGACATTTTTTTCTCTCCAATCCCTAATTATTTTACAAATATCTATCATTCTATATTAAATTAAATTTTAAATTTCATTATTTTTTTCATAAGTGGCTTTGAATCCTCAATTTTTCGATGATATCAATTTTTTGGGTTTTAGATTCGACGTCGTGTTAGCGGTTAACAAATATTGTAGACGTTAACAGAAGTGTTAGTTGTTAACAATTATTTTTACGCTTCGCGTTAATAAATGTGTTCGCTGTTAACAAATATTGTAGACGTTAACAGAAGTGTTAACTGTTAACAATTATTTTTACGCTTCGCGGTAATAAATGTGTTGGCTGTTAACAAATATTGTAGACGTTGACAGAAGTGTTATATGTTAACAAGTGTTTTTAGGCTTCGTGTTAATGAGAGGAAAGAGAAAGAGCATTCTCGGCATTTCTTTGCCAAATGGTTGTGTCAGTGTCCTTCATGTCCAATCAATGGTATTTTACTAATTTGAACTTCAAATATGGGTAGTTCACTAAATCACTCTTGTTTGTGTGTGTGTGTTTACCCCTAGGTGTTGTTTGTGTTCTTTAGTAAAACGTACATCTATAGTGAGGACCGGTCTTAGACATAGATAAATGAAATATTTGTCTATAACCTCCATATTTAAATATTGGTTCTCGAATTTGTACGAAGAATATTATATCAAAACTTACACTAAATTATTTATATCCCGCAAAATCTCAGTGTTGTGTTCTCAAATACTCCTTTTCATTCATTATGTATGTAATGTAGTCCTCATACGCCGGTAATAAGAATGCTGCAAAAGAAATTTTTCTTTTAATCGATTTTTTGAAGTCGGCATTTCTATAGTATTCAGTCAAAATCAAAGCAAACATTAATACATGTATCTTAATAGTTAATAGTATCTGAAACATATCATATGCTTTCTTTCTCCTATTCTGCTCAAAACCAGTTACAAAAAGAGAAGGGTATCAAATACATTTTCCTCTGTGCACGTTATTCATGTTTTCTTTCTCCTCTTATGCTCAACATTGATCAGTTATAGATATGCCCTTTTTCAAAAAAAAAAAACATCAGTTATAAAAATAAGGGTATCAAATATCTGTGCATGTAACACATTTTTGACGCCCTTCTTTTTGTTGAAATATTATCACTGCGGGTCACTTTCCTCATCTTTAATTTCAGTATAGGACACATTGTTATACATACACACTTTTCACATCAACTCACTCCGATTCTTGTTCTGTCTCAACTATTCCTTTCTCTTATCGTTACATTCTAATCTTAAGGCAGCAAAATAAAAAAATTAGTTTTTGTACAGTTGGCAGTTTTTGTCCCAACCATTGATATAAAAACACATCCTATGGCTAGGATTTAATATTGCAGATATGGATAAGACATATAGATTTTTGTAACCACAACCATTCGATTAAATCCTTTTCTTTTCGATGGCTCAGATCAAGCATCACTTATCCACTTTCACCTCCCTCCTACATTCTATCTCTTCTTCTTTGGTTCTTCTTCAGTGTAAAGTAGAAAAACAAATCTCATTCTCCCATTTATCAGAACCGTAGAAACTGCCATTTACCCCATAATTTTCTAAA